TTATAACAAAAAAAGAAAAGAGAAAACGCAAACAAACAAAACAACTATAAATAATAAAGCCAGAAAATCAGTTAAAATAATATAATAAGATTAATTACTCAACCTTACCTATATGATTTGTCTGTCGTGTTCAACCTACCTGTTGTTGATTTTACATACATGCTACAGCACTGTCATTAATTTGTGTTATGCCTTTTTGATATACTATTGTAAAAAATGTACAGGAAACTTATATGTGCCATTTTCCCTTTTCTTCGACCATTTTAATTTTGATATTATATGTACCAAAATGATGTCGCTATTCAAAATTAACTCTTCCTGAATAAGAAGTTATCAGAATCACAAGATTCTTCCTGCGTATGCTGAAACTGCCATTGTATTAGCATGTCACCGGTAGCTGTAATTAGGCTGCAGTGTTGATGATAAAACAATGGAATTTGCACGAGTTATCTCCCGTAGCTATGCTTTCTCTGCACCTCTTCGTTTGAATGGAAACGTGTACGCTTCTCTGTAACCTTGCGTTTGACTGGAAACTTGTAGAAACTTGGCGGTTTATATCAGGTTACATGTATGTGCTATGATTAGGCAACTTAAATGTGATGTTCATGTCTCTAATACCTTATTGTACATTGTATATCTTAGTGTTTATGTTTGTGAGCTCCTTTACCTTATTGCTAATATGCAATGTAAGTTCTCGTCATATTAAGACAGTAACTAATTCAGGCTGCGAAGAACAAACAACCAACTTCTGAAAGCTTAATAAAAATAACACGATTTTTTATGACCAAATCAAGATTTATATAATATATGTGTATATTTATACAGAAAAAAGCTTCTTGTGACAATAGATTATATCTAAAAGTGTGTGTGTAGTTATCACAACAATGTTTTAAAAATGTAAGAAGGTTGAAATCAGGGGGGGACCCAGGAATTAGTTTTTAATTTTGGATGTTGCCCAAAATTTTAAACTTAGAAAAGGACAGGTTTTTGCACTTATCTAGAACTAATACATTTAAAGTTTCGTGTAGGTTGTACATGATACTACTTTCTGGCACCAAAAATATATAACATAGAACTTCATTATTTCTGAGAATGTGACAATTATATTTTCAGTGCCGAGCGGGCATTATTTCTATTGTCAAACAGATCGAATGAGGCGTAGAACAGTTTTCTGAGATTGCGGTATTATTCCAGGTTATCTTTTATAACATAGAGTATTTATATTTTATGATGGCCGAGCGGAGCGAGTGTTAACAAATTCTCTAAAAAATGGTAAAAATGTAGGTTTTTGTTTAAAACAATCTGATTTATTTTGTCATAAATATGAATTATGATTTAACTGTTTGTATTTTATTGTGCAATAGTATGCATACGTATGTACAAGGGCAACTCCTAATGAAAAGGATGTACATGCCAGGCTTTGATGCCAACATTGGTTATTCGATTATTCACCTGATAAAGTGATGCTAAGGAGGCTGCTTTATTGTCTTTGAAATTTTTGAAATTTATCTTTTTTAATTAGTATACTAAATCACTCCTGGTGATCATGTGTACATGACACTACAGGTGAAAATACGGTGTGTTCTCCTTTCTCCCACTTTTTAAAAAAACATAGAGGCAGTAATGTTGTGATAGCAGTTATAGTCTGTTTCATATATATCTTACCTAGTTTTTACCTGTGTTCTCCCACATTACCTGTACCATATATATATATACAGTTCCGTCATATACATGTAGCTTTGATATAGTCTATTTTCATAATATTTAGCCATTTTTGTCATATCATATACCATTTTCATCTATACGAAACATACAAAACAGTAACAAATATTTTACATATTTTATATACTTAATAGTATATATATAGATGATAATGCTTTGATTCATTTAAATTTTAATTTATCTTGATTTAATTTAGGGTGGAGCAAATTCATATTGGAGCATTATTTTCAGAGAACCTATTTTACCAATAAATGAGTCTTCAGTGTAATTATTAATAACTTAGTATCACTCATTAGATTATTTTCCCCTAAAACATAAACATTAGTTACATGTATGTTTCTATTTGATAACCCCATATGGCTTGGGTCCACTGATATTTCTAGTTGATAATAATGAATCTTAACACCTGATGGTTTGGGTCCATCAACTGACCACTTTACTGGTGCGCATTGAGTCAACAATTAATTATACAAGTATATGAACTTATAAAGAGACATATAAGCTGACCGTTTGCATTTCATAACCTAAATGTCCGTCACTTAATTGATGCCATGGTGATTAAACAAGTGAGATTGTCCAAGCTATATGTTTTGTAAGTCTCACACATTCCCCATCAACCACCAACATGGCAAATGCACAAATTCAAGTGACGTTATCTTCGCAACAAGTTTGGAAGACAGAACATCGCCTACAACGGATATATTTACTGTGTTAAGAACAACAGAGGTGAGCGTGTATATTGGAAATGTCCCATCCCCAACTGTCCAGCTACCCTTAGTACCAGAAACAACATCCCTACTGGAAACGGCCGCCATCCCCACAACCACCCATATGATTGATTTGATCAACCAGTGCTAATTATAAGTATTCCATGTGTACATGTAATTAATTTTGTTTTATTTATTTTCATTCCCAGCTTTGCATCTGTTTTTGCATATACATGATCTCTGTCTGTACTGATAATATTTGTTATAAATTGCTTGCTAAATTTAGTTCTATTTTATGAAATATATATATAACATACATGTAAATGTGTAGTAAAAATGTATAAAATTGATTTAATATGAAATTAATAAAAGCAGGTTTTCAGTTAATGTATTTTGATGTGTTTTTGTAAGTAATAAATGGAATCTTGTATATATTAACTTTTAATTCCAGTAAATATTACGTAAATCAGGAAATATATTTGTTAAATATTCCTATAACTAACACAGTATTTCCTATTGGTGAACAGGTAAATACAGGTAAATAATCTACCTGTACTATACCAGAACAGACTATAATGACACATCTATTGTTGTCCAGTGTTTATATAATTCCTTTGATCAGAAAAAAGTGGGAGAAAGGAGAACAAACCGAAAATACAGGTTTATCTATCATGAAATGGACTCTACCTTAGAAATAACACTATACCTATATACCTAATTCCAACAGATGGTATAGTCCTCTCTCAACTGAGAGGGTGATGATCGCCACGACGTGACATTAGAACAATAAGATTAGGTAGAGCCTTGACCACTGACATGACTGGACCCCCTACTAATATATAGACAATAGAGAATTAATCCCCTATTGTTTAGAGTATAAGTACTGGACTCCTTGTTTGGGCAACACCCTTAGGCATATATATATAGACCATAGAAAATCATAGTTCAAGAGATGGTTGATATTAGAAGGAAATCCCATATGAAACAGAGGAAAATCTTCAAAAACCTTCGTCCAGATTATTTTTGGACACAGAAAAAGGGTGTTGCCCGGGCAACTGGGGCAACACCCCTGGGTCCGCCACTGGAAATATTCATTAAATTCCGCGTTTGATATTTCACGTGAATTCTACGCATGAGATCGACAAAATGAAAACATATCTGCAGTAAAATGCAAGAATGACTTTATTCACAACCATTACATACACAAGATTTTAAAACATCTCTGTAAAAGTCTTACACTGTAAACTTGTGGGATTAAGGTTGCACCAAAAAAGGTGGCACCACAGCTGCCTCCACCAACTTACCGATTTGGAGTTAAGTAACTCCCTTACGGTGTAAGGTAACACATTTACACCAATTTCGTATTCAAGTTACACCTAATGTGGGTATACTTTAAACATTTCTATGCTGTGATTAACTTTACACCATCAGTGGTGTGGTGTTATCATTCATTTTACACTGATAACGGAGTAAAATTACACGTCAAAAACACCGATATGAGGTAAAGTTTACAGTGTATATATCACACCATTTTTCTGTATAAGGAGGCTAAACTAGTCTATACCTTCCAAAACTAGCATGCTTGTAGTCAAAACTATAGGGACTAACTTTCTGTTTATCATTCCGCGTGTTCGACTGTTTTGGCCGCCATCATTTCCTGAGGGATACCAATCTATTACGAGCCGCCGGAACAGGTGATCGGTTTCCTCTAATGACGACTGTGGTCAGTTTTACGGGGCGTTTATGACTCCACCTGGACACCGCAATTACACGTGTCTTAGCCTGGCCCTATAACACTGAGATCCTTGATTAAATCAACGCCTCGTTCCACAGGTGCGAGCCTTACGCCGCGTGAAATTGTCTGGTCAAACTAGGGTAAGAAGTACGGTTTCCGCCGTGTGTCTGTAAGCCATCGTTGGCTGTGAAAAATAGTTTGATTCCATCTATAGACTTAACTACCATTATCTACACTTGTGAGATTTTAGGTAGCTTATGAATGGTATTTGTTTCAAAGAAGATACTACCCAACTTGACGATGGACAAATGCCATTCATTAGATCGGTGAACAACGAATACGTTATCGCAAAATTATGATATGGTAAAACAACAAAATACATCGAACTATGTCACAAATGGCGTTGTTGATTGTCGGCAACACTTCTCTTTCTACTGGGATCATGACTCCATGAACTTAGAAATACCGCTACAATATACTGCATCCACAAAAAAAGAAATGCCACCAGAAATGCAATGTAAACGGCACTTTGTCTAACACATTACCGTTGCTGTTCGCAGTGCTCTATGCTACCCGATAGACAGGAAAAGGGGGGATTTCATCACTTGTTAGTATCAAACTTTGCCAAGTAGGTCAGACGAGGTACTAGTTACGGAGGGTGAACTGGCTCACTAGGTACTAGGTTATAAAGAGTTCCAAGGGCAGAATCACAAATAAAACAATGTGTTTAGTGTCGGAATTAACTAGTTTAGCGCTATTAACATCGTTAATCACGTTTTACTAAGGAGCTTTTATTTCTTTGTATTATTGATTGTAATTAATCACCCAACATTCATCCAAACTTCTGTGTTTGCTTCCACATTTATTTCGAATCAAAGAAAATGAATCCTACAATTTCCTTCCAAACGCCGTATTGCTACTGCCGTGGATCGTATGTCTGGTCGGCGCTGGTCCTACATCACCTGCAATCAAAGTGCAGAAACAAGTGTAATTATTGGAACAGCCGGGTATTTAGTAATTTAGGTATTTGTTCTTTTGTTTTTCAATCAGGGTTTTAACGTTTTTAAAGTAACTAGCTAGGTCAACCGGAGACGAATGTCCAGCAACGCCACCGCCAAAATGAAAGTCGTTAAAAGGAAAAAGAAAAGATGAGATAAGTTAAGGTATGGATGTTATATTGTTCCGGTCAAAACTTTGTATTTTAAGTTTAAATATACAAACTGTATGCTATAGTGTTAACGTTGCTGCTAAGTACCGTGTGTAAAAGTAGGCTAGGTTTAATATGTAGTATTGTCTTTTGTGAATAAGAAGCAATACATTTTGATAACGTTACTATTAAGGAAGGCACTCGCAAAAAATGAGAATAATCTATTAATGAATACAAGTTTATTCGTTCGCGACGAGAATTTGAATATTCGTAACAATCGGTTAAACCCCAATTAACGAAAAGGAATACCCACAAAAATGAGCTTGGCTTCAGTATATGGTAACCATCTGTATTTTACGTCCCAGTTTAGATGTGGAAACAGCTTGTTGAATGGTATAGGACATGTCACATATAGTAGTGTCTATGCACATCTGCTTCCCTATTTATCAATTATGGAAGTCTCGGAAATGTCATGGATGTTTGCAAGGTGTGGTAAGGCATATAGTCGGATACAGTGACACCCACATAAATTATTTAAAACTCACGAAATTTTACTTCATTGGTATCGATGGTCACCTGACCTTTAACACACTCTTAGTTTGATACATGTAACTGCCCCCATGAAAACAGACGTTGATCGACATATAGATGAATAGACATACGCTGATGTTTGTATTCCTTCTATAAAGATTATGTACGTTTTTCTCTTGAGATTCCTTTCGTACCATATGCCCCTGTATGACGATATACATCTTTGTTTGTACAACCAAACCTTTTACAAAGGGTTGCTTAGAGATAAACAATATCAGTAAAATATTGTAAAATCCATTTTAGAGGTCAAAACTAAATTGATCCCGACACAGGTAATCCAGCCATCGCCTTTAACATATCAGGTTGTAACACTGGTGAATACCATTAGTCAGTTAAGACCCAGATCAGGTTAACGTTATTTTGTTGACGACGTGCCGTTAAAATTTCAACAATGTTAGTAAGTATGTTTTCATCATCAGACTAGTTGAACTCGGCAGAATCTTAATTATACCACTGACAATTAAAATTGAAAATTATGATTTCTAAAGTATACTTTAACGAATATCACAATCATTGAAACGTCAAAGGAAAACAACTGTTCCCAAAAACAGACGCTATTTAAAGTAAAATGTGGAATTGCATTGTCAATACACAAGATTATGATCGACTTCTAGTTCAGAAATTGTTTATTTTAAGCATATTTTAACTGTTTTACCAATGAATTAACAAATTCTGCATTCAACGTCGATATATAAAGACAATAATAGGACTTACACACAAAAATCAAGAGAAATGCAACATGAATAGATATCCCGCACCTGTCATGACAGATACCGTCAAATTAAGAAGACAGCATTTAAACCACGAACAAATGTGCTGATCAACAGAACTAGTCTATACAGAGAATCCCAATGCTTGGAACAGACTCAAGAAAAGCTTATCAGCTGTGACAGATAAACTTCCTTAAGCGCTGGGAGACTGGAATAAATAAAATGGAGGTATTTGGCAATGACTGGTGTACACGTGATGAGGTCACACTGCGTCAAAGTATTTAACTGAAAAATGGTAGACCACAGTAGAGTGTACATATCTCATTTCGATTTCTGGAGTATGAATGAAACGCAAATGATTTTCTCGAAATTCGAATTGATAGACGTCAAAGCGACATCTGTATACATGAGTGAAATTGGTCACAAAATCAGGCAAGTATTTTGCTTACTTTATTAGGCCTTGTTTACATACATATCTACCAAAGGCTATCTCGATTTGAATATCGGTAGTTTCTTAAATATTCTCCTACCTGTTTCAATATTATGCTCAACAAAACATTTTTCTCATGTTGACGTTTTCGTTTTTATACTAGCTAGCAGAAAGACCACATCCTGGAAAGCAAGTTATGTCCTAGTATAACTTTCTTTTTCTTTTTATCTTACCTTAAGCTTCAGAAGGATAAACATTATAGCTAAGACATCATTCCAATATTACTTAATTTAACAAGCAGCTGTCTTTGTTTCCCTAGTTAATTAAAGATATGTGTGTTATTTAAAGGTTGCTGTTTTTTTTAATGTATCTGAACTGTAGATGTGAAAAATAACACTTATTATGGTGGCTTATATTTTGTACTTATGCATAGGACACCGAAGGCACAAGGATGCAAAAACTGAGTGATTTTAACGGAAGCTCCCCTGCCTTAATACACTATCAAATGCACGTAAAGCAGCCATTACGGAAAGGTCTTCAAGTGACTTCTGCCCCGTGAACGTTTTGTACTTTACATTGACGTACGGACCCGTGAGTGGCAAGTTAGATGTCAGACCGTACTCTCTATACCCACTGCGTAAGCAACTTCTCGGGAAGAAGTTGTCGGGTTATACATTCGCTAAAATCTTACACCATTTGGGGCAATAAAATCGTGCCATATACAATAAAGGGGGTAGAATGATCGGATGTGGCACTCAGTTCGATTAATGAGCCCAACTCGCATCATCATCTCTGACCAATTAGAGTACAAAGACAGACCTGTCACATGTGTCACTTAAATTCTTCATTCACCATTTAAAAATCTAAATGGCCGCCATAAATCGCGGAGCCGCAGACGACAGCGTTGGGCCCGGGCTGCCACCCATGGTTGCGAACACGGAGACATCTGACTCAGCAANATGTATGGGTACGCTATGTTACCGGGATAGGTATAGCACACATTGATACTCTGTATGGGTACGCTGTTACCGGTTTGGGTACAACACATAGTGATACTATGTATGGGTACGCTATGTTACCGGGGTGGGTACAGCACATAGTGATACTCTGTATGGGTACGCTATGTTACCGGGATAGGTATAGCAGACATTGATACTCTGTATGGGTACGCTGTTACCGGTTTGGGTACAAAACATAGTGATACTATGTATGGGTACGCTATGTTACCGGGATAGGTATAGCAGACATTGATACTCTGTATGGGTACGCTGTTTTACCGGGGTGGGTACAGCACATAGTGATACTCTGTATGGGTACGCTGTGTTACCGGGGTGGGTATAGCACACAGTGATACTCTGGTTGGGTACGCTGCGTTACCGGGGTGGGTACATGTACAACACACAGTGATACTCTGTATGGGTACGCTGTGTTACCGGGGTTGGTACAGCACATAGTGATACTATGTATGGGTACGCTGTGTTACCGGGGTGGGTATAGCACACAGTGATACTCTGTATGGGTACGCTGTGTTGCCGGGGTGGGTATAGCACACAGTGATCCTCTGTATGGGTACGCTATGTTACCGGGGTGGGTACAGCACATAGTGATACTCTGTATGGGTACGCTGTTTTACCGGGGTTGGTATAGCACACAGTGATACTCTGTAGGGGTACGCTGTGTTGCCGGGGTGGGTATAGCACACAGTGATACTCTGTATGGGTACGCTGTTTTACCGGGGTTGGTATAGCACACAGTGATACTCTGTATGGGTACGCTGTGTTATCGGGGTGGGTACAGCACATAGTGATACTATGTATGGGTACGCTGTGTTACCGGGGTGGGTACAGCACATAGTGATACTCTGTATGGGTACGCTGTGTCATCGGGGTGGGTACAGCACATAGTGATACTCTGTATGGGTACGCTGTGTTACCGGGGTGGGTATAGCACACAGTGATACTCTGTATGGGAACGCTGTTTTACCGGGGTGGGTATAGCACACAGTGATACTCTGTATGAGTACGCTGTGTTACCGGGGTGGGTACAGCACATAGTGATACTATGTAAGGATACGCTGTGTTACCGGGGTGGGTATAGCACACAGTGATACTCTGTATGGGTAAGCTGTTTTACCGGTATGGGTATAGCACACAGTGATACTCTGTATGGGTACGCTGTGTTACCGGGATGGGTATAGCACACAGTGAAACGCTGTGTTACCGAGGTGGGTATAGCACACAGTGATCCTCTGTATGGGTACGCTGTGTTACCGGGTTGGGTATAGCACACAGTGATACTCTGTATGGGTACGCTGTGTTACCGGGATGGGTATTGCACACAGTGATACTCTGTATGGGTACGCTATGTTACCGGGATTGGTATAGCACACAGTGATACTCTGTATGGGTACGTTATGTTACCGGGATGGGTATAGCACACAGTGAAACGCTGTGTTACCGAGGTGGGTATAGCACACAGTGATCCTCTGTATGGGTACGCTGTGTTACCGGGGTGGGTATAGCACACAGTGATACTCTGTATGGGTACGCTGTGTTACCGGGATGGGTATAGCACACAGTGATACTCTGTATGGGTACGCTGTGTTACCGGGATGGGTATAGCACACAGTGATACTCTGTATGGGTACGCTGTGTTGCCGGGGTGGGTACAACACACAGTGATAATCTGTATGGGTACGCTGTGTTACCGGGATGGGTATAGCACACAGTGATACCCTGTATGGGTACGCTATGTTACCGGGGAAGGGTACACTCTGTATGGGTACGCTACGTTACAGGGAAAGGTACAATACACAGTGACTACGGTATGGGTACGCTATGTTACCGGGGAATGTATCACATAGCCATACTCTGTATTACTTGGATATTTAATGAATACTTTAACTAATTAGTAAAGTCTGTTTACCGGGAAAGTGTAATACACAGACGACACTCTGTCTTATTTTAATGGTAGATCACTAATAGAATCTATCATTTGTGTGTGATAGACATAACCTATCACTTCTACGTGATTGACAGAACAGTCTTAAGGAGTAAGACTCTTGAGGTTTAAGTCAACGCTTTG